ATATTTATAAATCCATTCTCATATTTGACTTAGTTTAGTTCTAGTATTTACCAACGCGATTTAAGTAGACAATTTTATACGAGAATTGACGATATGTATATTTTATATTCTGAACAAACAATAATTACAGAATTCACGCCAGTTTACAGGCATGATCAATTTTATATAAATATTAACGTTAGATGTGCAGAACAAACATGTGATAAAAGAAAGTTTTAAGTATACTAGTTCAGTAGTTGTTTAAGTAGTACATATATTACAGTGATCCAATGCATCAGCCGGGAATTTTTAATATTTCTTAAATGGACAGCCTGTTGATTTATGAACGGTGTAATTAAGGTCAATTCGTGTGCCAGATCGAAATAATGATAATTATCTACAACTAGAGAAAGTAAAATGAAAACAGAGAGCACGGAACAACAAAGCAATGATGACCAAAATATGTCAATCAGGTCTACCTAAATGCGTGTGTCATGTGACACGGTGACATACTGTTTATGTTATTCAAATTAGTTAAAATTGCTAGGGGCGGTGTTAACATATTGACAGCAAGTGGGTGGTTTTACTAAGGGAATTCACTAATAAAGATGGCTAAACGTTTAAAGTTCCTATAATATCACTTGTGGAATGAGATACACTTACAGGTGCTAGACCATTCAATGCATTTTCAGAGGAGCAGTATGCATCGATGCAGCGAACAAATAATGGGAGTGATTTTATCGTGCGGACAGATTGTGGTAGGTTATTCCAGAGTCTAGAAAATTTACAGGTGAAGTAATTCATATAATGAGATGATTTAGAATGAGTTTGTTTCACTAGTGCCAAGGAATTACGGATGTCATAATGAGAAGTTTCTGAAAATTGAATCGCGTGATCGTATGTAAACGATAGTTTATAATTATCAGAATGGGTTTTGTGGAGATTTTAGAAATTTCACAGATTTCACAGATAGTTTATAAAGTAGTCTGAAGAAAAAGATAAGATTTAGTTTGAGTCTCCTCCTCCATAAAGGGTCTAGCCCAAGTTTATTACATCTAGAATTATAAGTTAAGGTACAATCAGCTCCAAGAATACGAAGTGTAAATCGTCTCTGTACTGATTCCAGTCTTAATTTATCCTTTATGAGCGCACTGTTAAGAATAAACGTGCAATATTCTAGAAGAGGTCGAGCACAAATTTTGTACATTAGAATACATGACTCATTGTTGTAAAGATTTCGAGTTATGTAACCTATTAGACGTTGAGACTTAGAGGTCTGTTTTAATATATGTTTAGTAAACGACAAGTCTTGGGAATATCTAAGTCCTAAGTCTACTACCGTATGTAACCTAAATAACACTGCTCCATTTGTGGTAATGTCTAGGTTGAGTGATGTATCACCGAAGCATATCCATCCACATTTAGCCGTATTAAGCTCCAGTTGCCATTTTAAGCACCACTGTGCTACCTTGTTAAGCTCCATGCTAATGCAATTTTGCATATTTTTCAGGTCATGTGGAGAAAATGAATATACTACTTTAAGATCATTTGCATATAGAAGGGGCTTACCGACACAAAAACTTTCACAAATATCATTGATAAACACTAAAAAGAGCAAAGGACCTAAGACACTACCTTGTATTACACCACTTCTAACAGCGACAGCGTTAGACAATGAAGAGTTAATTTTAACTATTTGATGTCGATTGCTGAGAAAGTAATCAAACCAAGCAATCAAATGATTTTGAACCCCATAAGATGCGAGCTTACCTATAAAAAGTTGGTGGCTAACCATGTCAAAGGCTTTAGAAATGTCAAGATATAGCACTAAGGCTAGATATCCCCGGCTGCGTAGAGAATAGACTAAATTAAAGAAGTCAAAATGACATGTCATGCAAGAACGATTTTTAAGAAATCCATGTTGAGTATCATTGATAATTTTTCCAGTAAGTAAATAGTTGGAAAGTTCATCACATATAATTTTTTACATAATCCTAGAAATAACTGGAGTAATATTTGCCGGCCGGTAATTGTTCATGTCAGTCTTATCTCCAGATTTGTAACGTGGTATGATATGCGCGGTTTTCCAACAGTAAGGGTAAAAATCAGTTTCCATAGAGAGAGTAAACAGCTTTAGAAAAGAAGTGGAATATATGGACCACCGTATTTGTAGAGAAATGATGAAATCCCGTCTACTCCATGACCTCTCGAAAGCTTAAGGGTATTTATAGCCTTATTAATTTTCATGCATTTGAAGGAGATAGATTTTATTGAGTCGCTAGTCACGCACATAACTCTCGAAGCATAGCCACTGCTGTGAAGTCGTTTGACTTAAAATAACGATTCTGTAGGCCTTTTAGTTTATTACGATATTTAGCTGGTATATATAATTCGTAAGGTTTACTAAACCTGTACGTTTTAAGAGGTACACTGGAATCTAAACAAGAGTTAACCATCAGATATAATTCGTCGATAGCATCCATGAGACTATTACATGAAAAAAAGTTATCCCAGTCTGAAAGTTTAATCAATGAATGTAGGAGGTCCCAGTCAGCATGCTTATAGTCTCTATATTGACAGGTTTTTTGAATGGGTGGGTTATAAGAGAGATAGATAGAGAGAGCGCAAACTACTATCTTATGGTCACTGCTTTCAAATTCATCATATACTTTTACAGATAGTGGGATAACATCTCTACTAAATATTAGATCGAGTATACTATCGCCTCTAGTTGGGGCACGAACCCACTGTGACCAGCAGTGCATGTTAATGGTTGCCGAGAACTCATCATTACATGACTGACAACTACCGGTACTCCAGTTGATCCCAGGATAATTGAAATCCCCAGTGATAACCTTAGCATTAAAGTTTAGAGAGGATGCATATATGAATGCATTGATAATAAGATCATTCCCACTATTCGGACTATCAGGAGCTCTGTATATACATCCAAGTAGTAGACTATGATTCAGGGTGTTGACTGATATCCAGACTGATTCTGGTAAACTATTCAGGACACTATCTTCAACTTTATTAGTTGTTAGGGTATCCAAAGCATATATAATACAACCATCTCCTCGCTTAGTTTCTCTGTCGCAGCGATAAAGTCGATAGTTCTGGATATTTAATTCTGAATTAGATACTGCTTGAGAGCACCATGTTTCAGTGATAAGTATGGAAGAAGGTTTGGCTAGAAAAGCTAATGTTCTCAAGGCTGAAATTTTGTCCAGAAATGAACGTGCATTGATAAGTAATAAGTTTGAAAAGGGAGTGTGGAGTGTTAAAAACCGAGAGCTTCCCTATTGATGTTATGTAGTTTGGATTTGCATGGACTGTGGTTTATTATGTTTGACTGATCGTATGGGCTATCGCTTGAACAAACTGTATTGCTAGTCGGACCAGGGATTTCTGAAGGCCAAGAAAATCATTATTTTGATAAAGTGGGTTAATTTGTTGAACTTGATTAGGCGGACAGTTAAGACAGGCACCTGCCAGTTGGGGTTGGGTTGATGGTGCGTAACCTAGTAATCCATCTTGCCCAATGGGAAAGTGCTGAGAATAGTTACATCTTACAGGTATGTTATTTAAAACGTTTGAGGATAACCGTAGGGTGCGTTGGTTCGTTGTGGTCTGTCCAATATTAGGCCTGCTTACATAATGATTACAGTGACCATCTTGTGAGACATTTGAACGACGTCTGCCCTTATAACCTCCCCTACGATGCGTAAGGTAAAGCATGGTGTCGGGAAGTACAGTCTTATTTTCATTTGGTAGGGTCGTCGTAGTATTTTTGATATTGGGTCTAGAACCAGAAGGTTCTGCACTTACATTCTTCTTACATAGCAAATGTATTTTAGTCTTGACAGCCTTTTTAAGAGTTGTAGCACTAGAACTAAGTACTTGCTCATGGGCTTCTAATGGTAAACTGGGTAATATCGGATTAGTGACGTCATTAGATGTACATTGGCTATCAGATGTCACTACAGACATAACAGGCAAATTAGCATTCTTTGTTGGTATATCAGAGTGCTGGAGAACATGAGATAGGACAGCTGCATCAGTGGATCCCGCAGCTGATGCATCGTGGTTTGTTGTGATCTCAACACCTTTATTTTTGTTCAAGGTACGTTTTTGCGTAAGCCTTTGATTGGTGGTCTTATCTGAGACTATACGAGCGTTTCCAAATTTCGTAAGCGCGCAGATTATCCGCTCGGATTCTTTTAACCGTTCAGCTAATATATGAGAGTCGAATCTGAACAAGACCGGGCACGAGTATTTCTGGTGCTTTTTATTAAGTCGAATGCATTGGCATGGACTGTCTTGAAGGTTAGACGCTTTTAATATCGAATTCATTACAGTTTTAATGGGAATTCTGTCAGGTATATTATAGACCATCACGTTATTACTAGAGACTATTCGCTTGGTAACTTCATTAGCGATAAAGTCGATAACAGATTCTGCTTTTATGATGTCATCAAGTTCCGCAGAAACGATATCTTTTGACAGGAGCAGCTTAAGGTGTGATAATGTGTTTATTTCTTGTTTCAAATCAACATGCTTTGATAAAGAGCTATCAAGTGACTCAACTTTAGAACGCATGTCGGTTAGTTGTTTAAAGATAGTGTTTAATTCACTCCTAATATTGTCGATACTCTTTGATCTTGATGTGGAACTCATTATTAAATTAGAGACAGAGTCATCCAGCATCAGATGTAGTGTAAGACCTATCTCAACATTATCAGCTTCAAAAGGAGTAGCAGAACATGGGGAATAGGTAACAACAGAATTGTTATTATCTGAAGTATTAGGGCTTTTCCGGGCTCGTTTTTTTGACAGTCGACCCATATCGCTTTAAGTATAGATTTTAAAGCTAGTTATCAGTTATAAACTGGGATTCAACGATATTTAAACAATATAAATTAGATACCATGTTATCGTAACGCAAACTTCAATAGCAGTCAATCAAAAGATCTACTTGAAGCCCGATCATGAGACACTAAAAGTTTATAAACATAGAACAATTTAAACACCGAAATATTTCCGTAGTGTATTATAGAATATTAGTAACGTAACATGCGAAATTTGTCATTGTTTTCAACAATGAATGTGCGTAATTAGGTTTGTTTTAAAAGATAGATCGTTCTGTATAGCTTTTGATCAGCCCAATAACTATCACAAAGACTGATGAAAGAGTCAGCCAAGATATTTGAAATGAACCTAAAATGAATTAGGAAGAATAAGGCATTTTTCAATAGATATACATAATACATTTAAATTAAACATGTGAATTACCAGCATAGAAACGGTCTCTGAATCAGTAGGCCTCACCATACACAAAAGAAAAAGCAAGATCCTCAAATATAACACGGAGAATACTAACATAATCACACCTAGTAGAGAAAATCTGGAAGAGGTAGAAAGTTCCATGTATCATCGATGAACAACGAGGATCGGATGCAGACTTAAAGACAACAACTTTCAACCAATATCAAAGTCACAATCTTCAATACGAACGTCAAGACAGTTCTTCTGCATAGAGCTGAAACTTCGAGAACTACTACAACCGTCATCAAGAAGGTACAAGGATTTATAAATAGTTGTCTACGCAAGATGCTCAACATCTATTGGCCGGAAACCATCAGCAACAGTCTTCTGTGGGGGAGAACAAACCAGCTTCCAGCTGAAGAGGAGATTAGGAAAAGAGGCTGGATGTGGAACGGACACACACAGAAGAAATCATCAAACTGCATCATGAGACAAGCCCTAACTTGGAATCTTGAAAGAAAGCGGAAAAGAGGAAGGCCAAAGAATACACTACATCCAAAATCGGAAGCACGCATGAGCTGGATGAATAGTAAAAGGAAAGAACTTGAATAGAATTGTTCGTGGAATGCTGGTGAGCCACCTATGCTCCTCCATGAGGGGTAACAGACGTAAGTAAATAATAATTCGTTGAATGAATATGAATAGAAAACGCTTAGTTATACACTTTTTTTGAAACAATCACTTACTGACTGAACCAGAAGAACCAAAAAGTAATTTCATCAATTTAGATTCTATAAGAGAAATTTATATGTTGTTAAATGAGAAATCATTAGATCATTGGTAATTTAATCTACATGTATAACATATATATCCATTACTAGTTTTAGATCACTCATACACTAATAATCTCACAGATGAATCTAATTATGAGTGACAAATACATAAAAACGTACCATGGTTTTTATAACAGATCAATTGTGGTTAATAGTAGAACGAAGTACATATGCTTCATCCCCTTTGGCAATCACTTACAGGATATATATCTGTTAACATTACTGTTACTATAGCGGGACTTGAATATAATGCCTTTCAACATAAATGTCAAAAAATTATCGATCTCCTGATCTACTTAGATCAAATAAACACTAACTTGTTTAACAGGTATAATATACATGGGATTATTATTCAGTTGTCAATATTAGGAAGTAAATACTAATTTCAATAGTTGAGATCATGAGTCAGTTGAAGCTAGACCACCATGGAAAACCTGAAAGCACTGGACGGCCGTTCCGTCCTATTGTGAGACTTCTCAGAAATGCGCATCCACCATCCCGCCTGGAGAGATTCGAACCCCTTCTGACATGTTATCACTAGTGTCTGGCTTTGAGATGTATTTCCTGGAGTACTAGTCATAAACAGTGACCAGTGGAGTTCAACCGGATCCGTAGTGAGATAGCAATTCATTGAAGACAATGGTGGATATGCCGCTCAATTTCGTAGGTTGGTTGGAGTTAGACATTAACACCGTTGAATGGCGGCCGGCTCAATGGTTAAGAGTTTAAGCGTTCTCACGTGAGACCGATAGGTCGCTGGTTCAAATCTTGCGGGGCGTGATCATGGATGCCCACTGCTGAGGAGTCTTATACTAGAACGAATCGTCCATCCAGTGCTTCCAGGTTTTCCATAAATGTCTAGCTTCCATTGGCTCATGATCCCAACTACTGAAATTACTATAACACCCACAAAAAACCCTTCTGATATTAATTAAATGCTAGCTGACCTTTGTTTTTATATATGAATCCCGTAGACAACCTCTTTGTATATCCATCTTGTCATATTGATAGTCATATATCATCTATTCTAAGATATCTATGCCAAAGTAAGTATTCTCTATCTAATCTGCACAGAATGTATAAAGATGAAGAGTGAATAATTAGAATTCATCTGTGAATATAGTCGATGAATGAATTCACACATTTACAAATCATTATCTTCATAGACATTTATTCACACACACACTCAAACAAATAACCTTTTCACCAATTAAGGTTAAAAAACAAAAGAGTTAAACTACGTTTTATCTTGAATAGTAAAAGACAACTCTTCATGATCATTCAAACAAGATCAGTACTTCATGATAACTGAGAAACAAAATTCAATACCTAAAACAAAGAATCATAGTTTCTAGTGGATATTCCAATTCAAACACTACATTACATAGTGTACAGTTATTATTTTTTTGAGCATAACATCTACTGGTTCCATGGTAAAAAAAAGAAAAGCACTATATTATAGTGAATACATTGAACATACGTTTAGGTGTGGCTAAAATTAAAAAAAAGGATTCACCATTTCAGTCAGAACAATGTTATACAAGTCTGTCAACCAATTGTATGTAACTACCAGCTTAGAGTATATCAGTATAGATACAACTTGTCACAACATTTTAGATCAGCAAGATCAAATTGTTGAGATAAATCTTAGAGTGGAAGTAGAACTAAATATACTAATAATGATATCAGTAGTAGTATTGGTTTGGCAAAAAAAGTTAGAAATTGTTAGAATAATTTGACCATGAAATATGGATCCATGTTATAAAATGGCCTTCAGGAAAATAAATCATCTCAGTATCCAAAATGAGATAAAGTGTTACAGCATTAAACGGTTGAATTCATGAGTTGATATAAGCTAGGCCACCAAGGTAAACCTGAAAACATTAGAGGGAACCTTATGTCCAAAAATAGAACTCCTCAACAGTGCACATTCACGATCGCGCACGCGGGATTCGAACACAAAACATATCGGTCTGGAACAAGAACTCTCGACATCTTGGCCACTGATCATGTATCCAACGCTGTTAATGTCTAACTTCAACCGATCCATGATATCGCACGACACTCCACCATTGCTTTCGGTGAGTCACCTCCTCATAACAAACACAGTTTGGTTCCATTGGTCATGTCTACTGACTGCAACTCCAAGAAACATATCTTTAAGCCAGTCACTAGTGAGCACATTATGATTATCGCCAGAATGAGCGTTTGCGGAAATCGACTCTAAGATATATCAACAAGTGATCGCAATCATCTAGTCTTTAACTAGTTAGACGACTCACTCTAACAGTTAATAACTCGATGGACTGATGCCGGCATTTTTCTAACCATCTTTAGACCCATTGCAATCTACACCTGCACTAGTGTTCATCGTATCTGTTGGTTGAAGTCACGTAACTTATGTTCCAGCCATCTAAATTAATGAAAATTCACAACTAATTCGACATATTTATCATTCTTGAGTCTACTCATTACATTAAAGGTTTGGTTATCGCATGTTATCAATAGTTGGTCGACGACCGATATGTGTTAGACATGAAAGATGGAATATATGATCGTGACTCTCATCAAATCTGTAGGCAAATTCGATTTTGATCTATCTACCTATGGGACAATCGATGGCTCGTTAGTTTAAAATGAAGCTGCTATCATACTCAATCCCAAAGCTGAATGCGTTCACCATGAGTTATGAAAATACAGGTCAGTTATCAGTTTCACAGAGTGGTATATCATCGTGTTGATGAATAACATATTTTGCTCATTGCCAATACGCTCTCACGAATCCATTAGAGTCATACGTGCCTGTGACCGGAACTCAGAATATTTTGATGATAATTATCCATGATCCCCATTGGTCAGTCCTTTGAGTTTGTTTTTCAACAAAGACATCCATACTTAAAAATTTTTTCATTTATAAAGTCATTCGTGAAATGACATCTCGGTATGTTCAGGAATATAACTGAATTCAAACAACAGGTAAAACAGTCATGTAGGAATCTCAGCTAATCTAAATATATTGTGAATACAACTGCATAAATAATCAGTCACAAAACACATTCACATTAGAACTAACTTGTAGCTGAAATATAGTTTCACTTATCAGGTTTAATAGTAGTTAATCTAACATTGAGCATATGTTATGTGAAAGATAACTACGAAGTGTCATTCACTGAACGATTGTCAGTGGCAATGTATGTTACATTATGAAGTGAACTATAGACATATATGTGTTAGATTATTTTCTGTGATAGAAATATAAATGGATTAGGAATTGATGAGTTCCTTCTATGTCTCTGAAGATCATACGGATCAATTATCGACAGACATTTATCAACCTACACAATCATGATTGTGTTTTAGAGGGATACTTGTTTAAGTTAAGAAGACTGTGAAATGAATTATAAATGGGTCAAGTTGACGACTTCGAGAAGATACGAAACGAGACTATCTGATTACACTGTTAGACACAATTCAACTTCATTACAACTCGTATTCGAATAACAATATCAGGGTGATTCATTCAAGATAAACATAGGAAACAAATGTCAGTCAAGCTTACTAATTTTCTCATCGAGCAAACCAGAACCTGAATGTGAGAAAAGAGAAATATTCACAATTACAATAATCGTCATTATTCATCTCCTTCGATGTATTTACATTAACAATAGAACAGTCATATTACTCATTAGGTGATACATAATTACCTGTTACATCATGTACAATTGTCAGCAATACAATTGTACTCATGAACGTTACTAGACATTGATGATAATGCATGATCGTTGTGTATATGAACCTCTTATCTTCGAACGGATAGTTCGTTAGTAGTTGTAAATGTTCGTTCATTAACTTTTTATAATGAAATTTCTATTCAAGAAGAAGAAGAAGAAGGATATTCGGATTGTTTACTCTGTTAAGTAATTCTTATGTAAATAAAATGAAGAAAAAAAACATTGAAATTTGAGGTAATAAAATTAATATAAAATTATTAAACTAAATTTAGTTCATTAGCCAACTGAAAATAGACCATCATGGAAAACCTAGAAGAACTGGGTGGCCGTTTCATCCTATTATGGGACTCCTACTATGACACTGCGTATCCACGATCTCGCCTCGCGAGATTCAAACTCACGACCTTTAGGTTTCTAACGTGAGAACATTTAAGCTCTAGACCACTGAGCCGGTTTTCATGTTCTATATGATATACAAATGTAATTCGAAAGCAGATACCATCAATTTACTGACCTGAAACCTGTAGGTGAAGACAGAAATGATCGGATTAAATACAAACCGAGTGATATTACAAATCAATACAAATCTATACTTGTGCGACTCCACATTGAGAACTTTCAACTAAAGTATATACGTCATCGTTGAAGAACTTAAGATGTTTAAAGTAGGACCAGATAAGTATACCGGTGTTATGACAACGAGGTAACGAATCGATATGTTCGAAATGTTCCAAATTCTCAACGATATATCAAAGTTTCAACGTTACAAATCAAGAAAAGATACCATCACGACAATCGAAAACCGAGTCACTAAACATCGTGAGAATCGTTTGAAACATTGAAACTCATTGATAATGGAACTTACAACAATCTGAAAGTAAAAGGATCACTACTGTCTTTTGAGGGTGTGTGTGTGTGTGTGTTCTACCTAAGCAACACAAACCCAACTTATAGTGTATATGGTAAGCTTACCATATCATAAGTTAGCTCAGTGATTAACTGAATTATTAGAACCGATTGGTAGAAAAATGACGGTCCATAGTTTAAGATACATATTTCAGTTTTCCAAAACTAAATTTGGATCAATTGAATATATCAGATATATTAATGGTATCTTTTGATGTTTGCTCATTATTTACGAGTATCCCATCAGAAGAAACTATCGATGTACTACGCAAACAATCAAGATTACTACCTCAGACGAAAAATGAATTGAGAAAGTTATCAGTATTGAGTTGTGGAGATTATTACATTTTCGATTGATATTACGAACTGGTTGATGTTAGACCACCATTGAAAATCTGGAAGCACTGAATGGCCGTTTCATCCTATTGTCGGAGTCCACAGAAATGCGCATCCACGATCCCTCTAGCAGAATTCGAAACAGGACGAAAAGGCTGTACAGTGCTTGCACGTTTTCAATGGTGCTCAAACATCAGTCGGTTCAGTACAAGTATTTATAAATAGCTGTCTTCGCAAGATACTCAACATCCATTGACCGGATACCATCAGCAACAACCCTTCGTGGGAGAGAACAAATCAGCTTCCAGCTGAAGAAGAAATTATGAAAAGACGATGGAAATGGATAGGACATACATTACGCAAATCGTCAAACTGCATCACGAGACAAGCCCTAACTTGAAATCCTGAAGGGAAGCGGAAAAGAGAAAGGCCAAAGAACACATTATGTCGGATAATAAAAGCAGATATGAAAATGATGAATTACAACTGGAAGGGGCTGGTAAGGATTGCTCAGGACAGGGTTGGATGGAGAACGCTGGTGAGCGGCCTATGCTCCTTCACGAGGAGTAACAGGAGTAAGTAAGTAAGTCAGTAATATATATACATATATATATATATATATATATATATATAATTACTTGGCACGACGCACCATTTCTGTTTTTTCCATTATGAACCCTTGAAGCAAACTTATTGATATAGATAGCCCATGTACCAACCCCATTAATGCATCACAACCAGAAGACAATGTTTTGAGCTCGATAAACGCTATTTCGGGATTAAGATTACCAACGTACGGTGCCAACAATCCCAGAATTTGGTTTGCACAGATCGACGCATTATTTATGGCACGAGGCATAAGGTCACAGGCAACAAAGTATGCATATGTAGTCGGCGCACTCCCCATAGAGATTGCTGCTGAGGTTGGAGATTTGATTGACCATGCGCCGGAACCAAAACCTTATGATAAAATAAAGGCAGCTGTAATCCAACGCACCTCGGTCTCAGACGAGAAAAGACTGCAACGGATATTTGTTGGTACCACACGACATTCGGTGAAAAGGCACGTCGTTGCACAAAACCGTGCAACTTTAACACAAACAATCCAAACTCCCAGGGAAACGAGAGGGCCAGACAGTAATGGCGGCGGCTGTTACTGGCCAACATGTTAGCCGTCTCTTCCACGTCAGGGATCGCATTTCTGGCTCGGACGTTTTGGTCGACACTGGAGCAGAAATCAGCATCATCCCACCCCACCTCTCACACAGACAACAGACGCCAAGCACTAAACTGTCCTTAGTAACGGCTAACGATTCAATTATCGAAACATAAGGAGAACAATCACTGATATTAGACCTCGGACTCCGCAGACGATTAACATGGGTTTTCACAGTAGCTCACGTCAAACAACCCATCATCGGAGCCGATTTCCTCAGTGCGTACAACTTGCTAGTAGATATGACTAAGAAGAAATTAATCGATACAAATACACGTCTACAGGTAGATGGCACACTTTCCAAAGATTACGAAATTCATGGAGTACGAATAATGAAGCCCGCGAACAACATTTTCAGCGACATCCTAACAGAATATGAGTGCACCATGAAACCCGATTATCACAAGGAAAGCAACCCACAGCAGGTGCAGCACCACATCACTACCAATGATCCCCCGATTTGCGCAAGGGCGAGGAGACTTGCCCCAATCAAGTTGCAAGTTGCTAGGAGAGAAATTGAACATATGATGCAACTTGGTATTATCAGACCATCTAACGGCCCTTGGACCTCGCCACTACATATGGTACCAAAGAAAGATCAAGAATGGCGTCCATGCGGTGACTATCGCCGACTAGACAGGTTTACTAGATGGGCCATAGCCTGCCTCATGAAAGACACGTCGGCAGAAACAGTCGCTTCAGTCTTCCTCGACCGCTGGATATCTAACTATGGAGTACCTTCTATAATCACTACAGATCGTGGTCCCCAATTCCAATCCATCCTATTTCAGGAATTCACTCGACTTCTCCGGGTAAACCACATCAAAACAACAGCTTGTCATCCGGCAGCTAGTGGCATGGTCGAGAGATTCCATCGCCAACTAAAAAGCTCACTGATGGCACAAGCGGACTCTTCAAAGTGGAGCGATGCTTTACCGTTCGTACTCCTTGGGATTCGTTCATCTGTAAAGGAAGACATCGGATGCACGGCCGCCGAGCTAGTACAACTCGATAAATTTGATTGTGTTCGAGTAGACGCTGTGAAAAAGCCACTTGACACCACCATTCGAAAGTCCTTATAAAGTAATGAAACGCACCCACAAATACTTCATTATCAACAAAAATGGGAACAAGGAGACTGTTTCCATAGACAGAATAAAACCAGCTTTCTACGAAGCTCCTCAAGACAAAGAAGACAACTCTGCGAATAAGCAATCCCTCCCATCAATTGATGAGAAACAAGAGGAGGAGGAGGAGGAGGAGGAGGAGGAGGAGGAGGAGGAGGAAAAGTTTAGCACTACACCTTCCTGCTTAACACGTTCTGGGAGACTTATAAAAAACCCAAACGTTATGTTCATTTCGCCGTATAAACAGCAAAAAGAATCAACGGAAACAATGATCGAGGTCCTACACTACCAGGTTCACCCAAAAGAAAAAACGTTTTCGTTTGGGTTTATTAACAGTTGTGCACCTTATTATCATTGTAAGCAAACCAAAACTTTAAATGACAGTATTCTCTTTTTTGTGTGTTTTTTATGCTATGCTACATCACCGCTACCCTCACACAACAACACACTGTATCCTACTAACGTACATGTCAAACCCATCTCCACATTTTTGTTGGTTACAACTGTAAATATTATTTTTGTATACATGTATATATCATATCCTTACATTTTGTTTGTTATTATAGCCAGTATTACCTCTGGACACTCTGGGGGAAGCTTTGTGGAGATAGGTCTGACAAGCTTATATTGTAAATAGTTCTTAGTATGATTTGTATTTCTTTCGTCAATCTTTCACTGTATATATATTTATCACTAAATGACTGTAACTGTTGTTTTAGTAAATGACCTTGGACACTCTTTCCGTTGTGATACTGACATAGTGTGACGTACTTGTCGTTGTACTCAAATACACTGCTATACACACACTCCTCGTTCTACTGTCACTCGTTATTGAGCTAACTGCATCCTAAATCGAATATTATCCACATTTATAGACTTTAAGCTGAGACACGTCGCACATAACAGTGGATTACATCATTGGAGATTTCAACAACCTGTACAGAGTTATCGAACATTTATAATTGTGGATTTACGATACCAGACCCAATCAGAACACACGGCAACTTGGTGAATTTAATTAAAGTCCATATTTTTATGTTGTATTAATAACTATTAACATTGCTATTTACTCTTCATAACTTGGTTAACATTTTTTTGCGTTCATATTTGTCTGGCCCAACACAGTCTGACCTCACAGATGGTGTGCAGTCTGGAGTCACGTAGATGTTGCTAAAATAAACATATTTGTATTTAATCAGCTGTTTCTAACGGAATCTTGAAGTTAGACAGTCGATAAAGTCATTTTAAAACTTGAAACATACAAAAGTATATCGAAACCAGCTACAAACGTATCTACACCGACGCCACAGATCTTTTTGTCGTTTGGTCGATCCTGACGATAGATATTGAAATCACATGGTGATATTAAGCAATTTACCCGTAAATCACTTAACCAAGATTCTTAAATTGTGATGACAACACAATTACGATACATATTTTGTCGTAGTAGGAATCGAAGATAGTCCACCTTGTAAACTAGTGATCGGCAGTTGGAATTTGGCAGCTCAAGAGTCAATATACGATTAATGTTCATTCTCTTCGACGCAGATTGCTAACATGCGCGATGTCTTTCATTGTACTTCATCGCAACATGTGTAGCGAAAATTTGTAAGCTTCTCATAAACGCGCCTGGATAGGTTATGCGATTATCAGGCATAATGAGGCAATAAAACAAAACAAATAACAGATGACTCGTTGAAATAACTAGATGTCAGCGACAAGAAATAGAAGTTTCGAAGCACAAGAAGTCGACTAAGTTCTCTGAACGTGTTCCTGGTGTAATGAAAGTTCACGTGGAAAGGAAAATCGGTTTAACAACGTATGACCACAGTGTCCTCACGAAATATGAAGACGATATTTTAAATATACTATATTCACATCTTTCTTTAATCGCTTCTTTTAAACCCTATCGTCCTTCCATGTCAGTTATTTAACCAGTTATTCTCTGTTTTACGTTTCTTTCTCTTCATTTACTTTTCCGTCAGTACGACTTCTAAATTCACTTCCCGATACATACTACATATATCTACCCGTATAAGTTGTATACATTACACTACGATCCTATGGCTGAGAGGGAATTAACTCATCACAGGTACAACTACCTGACAACTTTTGAATAGTGGACATGAAGTGAATGTAAGTAATCCATACAAAATAATCAACAAATAGCCCAACACCAATCCTACTGCATTTCGCATATACAGACAGCCTGTATAAAACAGTTCCTATTTGAACTATATATACGAGAAGAAAACAACGTGTGATTAGACTTCTCATGTCATGATAACTGAACGCCCACTCCATAACATTTATTAAGCTTTAATTTTTCAAATTACTTTGCAGCCATGCAATCTCTTTTTATGTATTTGTCATCTTAGATTTATTCACGTTTACATGTTTTAATAATTGGAATCATGATCGATTGAAACCAGACCACCATAGAAAACCAGAAAGCACTGGATGGCCGTTTCGACCTATTTTGGGACTCGTCCTTGGCAGTACACATCCACGATTCGGCCATGCGAGAATCGAACCAAGGACCTACACGTCTCTTCATTTTAATCAGTATTGAGCGACTACTCAATCCTTTATTCCTTTCATTAACCTTACACAATCTCCTTGATTTTGAATACGATCACTGGTAACTGGAATAACCACACTACTCTGAATTATCACTTTTCAACATGTTTTGACTGTGCTTATTCACATGCGTTGTGTCCCATACTTCTTGATATGATGAGTTTGGTTGCGTTCTGTTACAATATAGAATTCTCGGTACACATGATTTCTACAAGTTCCTTCTTCACATTTCTTGATCAATCTTAACGAGTCAGTTATCACCAGTTAAATGTTAGTAGTTCAAGAATATAAATTCAAATAATGTTCATTCTTAATGAATGCATATTGTCTACCAGCCACTACGATGTCGCTGGATGCACTTCGTACAGAGAAAGTTCGTGAACTTGTCAGAAACGCACCTGAATAGGTTGCGTGATTTATCGATATAATGATGTATTAAAACAATCAAAATCAAATAACTTGACGAAATGTCTTGAGGTCGGAAACAGGTATTCCAAATATTCGAACAGGCCGCCAAATCATGTAGTTCTTACTATGCTAACCATTATAAAAAAATCTTCACTTATGAAATGATAATACTTCATCTATTTGTTCTATTCATTAGACGTTCACTGTATCAAACAAGTGGTCATCTATATTTTGATTCTTATGAATACGATTTTATTCAAGGTTCATCATAAATGAAGAGATTTAATATGAATACAGTTTTTCTCTGAGTCGTCTGAGAATAATTCACATCATGGCTTCAATCCAATACGACGGCATTGCACTCCATACAAGAATCGTTAACATCGACTAATGCATTCAACGTGAATTAGCGTAAAATGATGCTCACCAGGTTAGGAGTAGAAGATGACATGTGTAAAATACAACAGTGGGAATCACAGTCATTGTCTACAAACTACAATACTTTTGAACACAAATATTTGCTCGAGCATCTTACATGACACAATTCAATTCAGGTGTTATTCAATGAGAACCTCAATCGTCGGTTAAACTGCACCTTCTCTCTATAATAAATATAAACATTTAGTTCATACTTAACCTAGAAGAAGATTACACTTCTATTCGAATAAAACCATATACAGTAAATATTTGAATAATTTACAAACACAGAACAATGTTTACACCAAAGTATTTCTGTATTTTTTAAGGAATACTAGTAATGTAACATACAAAATGAGCTTCTGTTGTAGTCAACGATTGTCATATTCTAGAAGATGAATCTTCTTAAATGACCATTGATCAGTCCAATCACTATCATGGAGATTGATGAAATGGTTATCCAAGACACTTTCATGGAGTCTAAATTGTTCGAGAAAAATAAAACACGTTTAAGCAAATGATGAATTCAAAACAAACATTTTGATTAATCAAAGTACAGTTGGTTAAATGAATGTCTTTGTTTATGGATATGTTTACTATATTTGAATGATCAACTACTAATCTACTGATGAGTTTGTATACTCTCAAAGTGTTCACAAAAGTTATTTCTAACCACAGAATTATGTAATGCATTGAAGAGACAGAGTAAATGATCAACTGAATAATTTCTGACACAATCACTTACTGGCTGAACCCGTAGCTGTGAATAGAATTGTATGAAGAACAAGGAGTGTTTATATATATGATTCATGCTTTGGAAACGTTTCATGAAACTTCAAATTATATAAAATGAGTAATGATCCATATGTATTAAGTGTGCATGATTCTCTGTGCTGTTAGTCTGGAAATGGAGTACATACTCTTTGTCTTATTTGATAATCGTCTGTTGGGTATGCGTAGTTGAGGATGTTGGTTTTTACACACTAGGATTCGAACGCAGTATCTTTCACTTTAAATGCCAGAGAGTTGTGTATTCATTGTTCTACTCAGTTCAGTTAGTCACTTACTTGTTAAGATTTATAATGTTAATGTCATTTAGAGTGAACGTGTGAATTATTGTGTTTGTTTTATTGAAGTCTTAATTCTCGTCGATCAATTCACACCCTAACCAATAATCATATGAGTGAAGACTCATTGATTTACACATGGGAGATTATTCGATTTAACATGCATTTTGCACACACTCACACACCTGCATAATCAACTAACCGTTCAATCAATCAAGAAAGATTATTCTGAAATAACTTGTTCATCTAGCAGAGGGGAATTCACAGGATCCCCATTCGTGTAATAATTGAAAATACTTGCTTTATGATGTCCTGACTACAGACAACACAAGATCAGATCTCATTGTTAACTCTTCACTTAAAACTCTTCATCGATAACTGTAATATATATTAACCTAACAGAACATTAACAATTCCCATAAGTATAAATGGTAAGAACTTAAAACTTACGCGTTGTTGAAGCTGTAATTAAAACAGACTTTCGCTTTTTACTCTAACAATCACATATAGATGTTGGGTGATTATTTAGTTTATTCAAAACTGTGATAAATACAGACGTCACGATAAATGCATCATGAACGAGTGGACAAGTCATTGATAAGATCGGCATAACTCAGATATCTACTTATCTGGGAAAACCTTGATGATCGGTAGTCGCAGGAACTTCGTCTATATCAGTAACCTTCTCGGTTTACAGTCTCAAATGTGGTATTATCAAACAAAGAAAATTCGAATCTAGTTAACAGTGAATGTGTTTTTACAACTTACGCATACGTGCTTCATTAGTACGTTCTGTTTCTTAAGATGATGTTTCACTGAGATTTGGCTACCTCATTACATCTTCAGATATCTATTGACAAGGACGAACGGATTATTCTAGGCACAACACATGCCCATGACTCGCATCCAATTGAATCCAGACCACTGGTAAATCATTCATATAGGAATCTTAGCTTAACTAATTATATTGTGAATACAACTGCATAAATAATCAGTCACAAAACACATTCACATTAGAACTCACTTGTAGCTGAAACACAATTTCAATTATCATGTTTAATAGTAGCTAATCCAACAAAGATCAAGTATCATGTGAAAGAGAACTACAAAGTGCCATTCTTGAAGAATTGTCAATCGCAATGTACTTTTCATTATGAAGTGAACTATAGATATGTGTGTGTTAGAATGTTTCCTGTGATAGAAATATAAATGGATTAGGAATTGATGAGTTCCTTCTATGTCTCTGAAGATCATACAGATCAATTATTGATAGACATTTATCAACCTACACAATCATGATTGTGTTTTAGAGGGATACTTGTTTAAGTTAAGAAGACTGTGAAGTGAATCATAAGTGAGTCAAGTTGACGACTTCGAGAAGATGCGAAACGAGACTATCTGATTACACTGTTAGACACAATTCAACTTCATTACGACTCGTATTCAAATATCAATATCAGGGTGATTTATGCAAGATGTAAATAGGAAGCAAATGTCAGTCAAGCTTACTAGTTTCTTCTTCCCCGAAACCAGAACCTGAATGTGAGAAAAGAGAAATATTCACAATTACAATAACCGTCATTATTCATCTCCTTCGATGTATTTACATTAACAATAGAACAGTCATATTACTCATTAGGTGATACATAATTACCTGTTACATCATGTACAATTGTCAGCAATACTATTGTACTCATGAACGTTACTAGACATTGATGATAATGCATGATTGTTGTGTATACGAATCTCCTAACTTCGAATGGATAACTCGTTAGTAGTTGTAAATGTTCGTTCATTTACTTTTTATAATGAAGAAGAAGGATATTCGAATTGTTTACTTTTGTTATATAATCTCTATGTAAATAAAATGAAGGAGAAGAGAAGAAAAGCGATTGTATTATGAGAGAATGAGATGAATATAAAATTGATTAATTAAATTTACATTAGATGTGGAAAGTAAATTTCCGACAGGAGTAATTCTATACTATTCTCTGGACCGTCGAGCACACAGTCTTGGTTTAGCCAGTCAGAACATATATGCTACTTGACTTGATAAACCTGATCTGTTTCTAATACATAAATTAACACTGTTACTATACAAATAAACAGTACAGTCTATTAAACAGAGAAAAGGAGAGACGTAAATAACATACGAAACAGTAACTAGAGGAAAGGGAATATTAGTCAACGAAGCGAATAATGTTTTTTAATGAACATAAGATTAAGATTTTTCAATAAGCATGGCATAGTTATACAAGGTCAAAGAAAGTTAATGTGGTGATAGGCGTTTCATATTATCATTGCTGGGATGGATAGTACCTATCAATTGAATCCAGGACGCGTGTTCCGCCCTATTTAGGACTCGTCAGCTGGATGTACCTGTATCCCAGAGTTGATGTTCACTCCTCTTTGTTTAAAAAGCTTGTGACTTAAGGCTATATCCAGGCAATCCGCATAGGATGCACATATGCCAACATGAGACTGATCATTTGCAGTCCTAAATAACAATGGGAAGATACAAGTAAAACAACATCAAGTGAATTTATCATTGGTGGGTTTGATTATCGATCACACTTTACATTAGATGACCCATTAATTAATATCAGAAGGGAATTTTTTTGGATATTATTCTGATGTTTACACATCTCAATAGTTGACATCATGAGTCAATTGAAGCTAGACTACCATGGAAAACCTGGCAGCACTAGATGGCCGTCTAATCCTATTGTCAGACTCCTCGTTGGCAGTACGCATCCACGATCTCGCCTGGCAACATTCAAAACCAGGATCAATCAGTCTCCCGCGCGAAGGCCTAACCTCTAGACCACTGAGCCTGCATCCAATGGTGTCAATGTCTAACTTCAACCAATCCACGAAATTCAGCCACCATCAACCAATGTCTTCAGTGAGTTACTACTTCACAACAAACTCGGTTCAACTCCACTGGTCACTGCTTCTCACTAGAACTCCAGGAAATACCTCTTGAAGATAGTCACTAGTTAGCACATGTTGATTAATATCAGAAGGGGTTTTCGTGAATATTATAGTCCCACAACAGGACGAAATGACCGTCCAGTGCTTACAAGTTTCCCATGGTGGTCTAACTTCAATTGACTCAAGACCCATTAATTGTTTTCTCAAATTTTAATATATATACTACTTAATATAGAAAAAAGCAATTATTTTTAGGATAGTGATTAATGAGGAATTATTGATTATGATTGATATTATGAAGTGAACTAAGTTAGAAGTCTATTGAAAACTAGAAAGCACAATATAGATGTATTGAACACTTGATCGTTTCTTGTAGTGGCACTCGAATATTTGATTCCAGATAGATCATATGTTTGATTGTTATGGCAATATACATATAGTCCATCCTTATGTAAAATTATTTACGTAATCCGTTTTAGTGTATAACGGAATTAAAACAAGTCAAATAGGAGAATGAAGTTTTGACCATGTATATTCTGTACATTGATTGATCTAGACAGACAATTAGAAAGACGTAGCGAAATGACGCGCGATGGAGATGGCGGATTAGCCAACTCGATTTAAGCAAGCGTTAATCAATATTTATAATCACACAGATGTAAGCAATAGACACATACGCTCATATTAGAAGAGTCAAAGTTAATAAGCAAGTAATTAACAAGGTCAAAATGTAACTCATGAAGAATGGATAAATTGGCCTGTCCAGAAGCCAGAATAAGTTATAAGGGCTTAACATAGTAACCGACACTACATTCTTATCCAGAATCCTAACACTGAGGTTTGATCGCAGGAACTTTAATCTCTCGCATGAAAGCTTAACATCGAAATTACTGATTCGGAATCTAGTGGTTTATATGTTTAACTTCAATGGTAATGTAAAACCATGTTTAATTATCTTCAGTAGGTTACTTCATCACATATAACATGGTTGGACTTCACTAATCACAGCTTTTAACTACAGTTCTAGAATGAAATCCGCAAACCGATCATTAAAGATCAAGGTACAATTATTATTAATCAGGTGGTTTATGGAGATTTTCATATGTTATAAATAATATGAACAAACCTAAGTTATTTATAGGTATCATTACCAAGGTTTAATATGATAATTTCGAATAATCATTTAAGGTGTTGTTAAGATTGTTAAGTTTTTGATTGAAATCACGAGTCACTTGAAGCTAGACCACCATGGAAAACCTGGAAGCACTGAACGGCTGTCTCGTCCTATTGTGGGACTCCTCAACAGTGAGCACCCACGGACACGTTAGCGGGACCCGAACTCAGAGACTATCAGTCTCGCGCGAGGCGCTTAACCAACTAGACCACTGAACCAGCATCCAGTGGTGTTATTGTCTAACCTCAACCAATCCACGAAATTGTGCGACCATCTTCCATTGTACTGACGTAGACACCTGTTTCTACCCGAAACGGATTAGCTCCACTGGTCACGGTTTCTCACCAGAACTCCGAGAATTTTCTCACGAAGCTAGTCACTAGTGAGAACATGGTAATTATCAGTTTAGGTGTTGTGGAGATTGTTGGCATTGTAGGCCCTGGGTTCGAATCTCGCGGGGTGCAGGATCGTGGATGCGCATCGCTGAGGCGTCCCATAGTAGGACGAAACGGCCGTCCAGTGCTTCCAGGTTTTCTATGGTGGTCTGGTTTCAATTGACTCATGATTTCAATCAAAAAATTTCGAATAAATTGAGCTTTGGGTAGATTGTTATGAATAAATGTATATTATATTCTCTGAAGAAGTGACTTACATTAAGTTACGAAACATCAGAAAATCTCATTTTTCTACTTATTGGGATATCTACAAATATATCATCTAAATTATTTATGTCCACCTTCATCATCACTACACTATCTCCATCGGACATTGGTTCAATTCATTGATTGTCTATTTATTCTACGTTGATTTTGGGGCGGCCAAACCAAAACGTGGCATCAGTCCATAAAGTCACCAACTTCTAGTCTTAGCTATGTCGGTGGATACAAAATACTAGGTTGGGATCGGTGTGACTATCGTAACCAATTACTGGAGACTCTGTGTGATATGGCTCAGAATCGATCACAATGGCGTCGGTGTATACACTCTCTGTCTTCCCTTAAACTAAGAGATTAAAATTGCTTCATATCTTTCTTTCTTCCTTTACTATATCCTTATATACAATCTTTCTTTTATATATTAACACCATTGAACTAACTTCTTCTATGAATTTGGTATTCATGTTGTTATACTAATGAGGTATGGCAACTTGGACTGATGCATATATGTGCCTGGTCCTACGTTGTAGCTGACTGACTGACTGACTACGTTGATTAATGCATAGTGATAATGTTATTTTTTATCATAATCAGTAGTATAGATGAGATATTGAAATATATGAAATGAATAATACTTTTTTTTCATAAAAGGCATACTAAAACTAATTCAATAAAGTATTATGTTCTAATTTTATACATGAGTTATTATGAAAGAAAACATCTTTCATCGTTTTTTTTTTGGTTGTTTACATAAAACTATTAGTAATATGATACATTTGAGCTTAAATCTTTTTTTGGAAGAAAAAGAAAATCAAAGTCTTGTATAATAAACAATCAATTAGTAAATTATCATATACTGAAAACGATCTGTTCATAGAATACTTTATGAATAGTGGAAGTTTCCAAATGAATGAATGAATGAATGAATGAAGAAATAGAACTTAATGAAATCTATGGAATGGGACATAAACTGGAATCATCAATTGGTTGATCACTGAAAGCTTTACAATTTGACCTATTCATTCATAAAGAAAGAGATTTATGTTGTGAATTTAAGTCTGACTAGTTATTATACGATTTATTCGTCCATCGAAATACGACCTATGTAATCTTAGTACTGTGGTAAACCAATGACATTCGACTGGTATAAGACACCTAGCATTCTTATTAGTCCTTTATCCTCATAACTCGTCCACTTGAGTCCAGAATACCAGCAACAGCTTACAATATGAAAATCGTTTATTTCAAACATACCAGACAAACAGACCACATGACTCCATAAAATAGGAAACAACATTTATACAAGATCAAGCCAAAAAGAAGCTGCGAACGTGGGAGACTGTAATTAATAAACTGTGTATAACTTAAGAACCGTAAATCTTATCATAATAATCTATAGTTCTAAATGAAGCTTATAATAAGAGGAATATAGATATACATAATCTAATTACTGAATAGTTATACAATAGAAATATATATCACTGAAGACAATGGTATATGGTGGCGTAACTTCGTGGATTGGTTGAAGTTAGACATTAACACCGTTGGATGCCGGCTCAGTGCTCTAATGGTTAAGTGCTCGCGTGCGAAGCCAGTAGGTCACAATTGATTGATCACTGGGTGGTGATCAGTCTCATGCTTGTCTAGTCCTTATTAGTGCAGATCGAATGCTATCGATCATGTTGCAATGTGGCCACCAGTCTAGGTGACTCGACACTGCGGGCACTATGTATTGAGATTTAGATGGTGGTTGGAGGTAGTCAACAGGAAGCACCAGTTCCCTCAAGATTACAGGTACACCTTGCTGACGAGTGCCAAGTAGCACGAAACCCGGGTCCAGGGTTTCCTGTTGACTACCTCCAACCACCATCTGAAGCCAGTAGGTCCTGGGTTCGAATCCCGCGGGGTGCGGGGTCGTGAATGAGCACTGCTAGGGAGTCCCATGCTAGGACGAAACGGCCATCCAGTGCTTCCAGGTTTTCAATAGTGGTCTAGTTTCGACTGACTCATGATTTCAATCTGTGAAGATTCCTGAATAGTCGATCAAATTACTGAGCTAGATTATGGCGTCACGGTGTAGAATATCATGA